TCATAATCTTCATCTTCCTCCAATTCTTGTCCGGTGGCGGCGGGTGCTCTTCAAACGAGAGCAAAGATGTGCAATTTTGGCCGACTTTTGAGGATTATTAGCATATGAGATGATGATTTTATAATGAGCAGTACTTGAGATTTGTTGGTTGACAATGAAATAGCTATGAACCATTTTCGGAAATGGCCAAGACATATGAAGTTGGGATTTAAACGTAAGATTAGAGAAGAATGAGAAGCGTAAGAAGAGAGAAAGGATTTGAGAGGAGAGAACTCCGGTTAAAAATGGCGAGAAGTTGAAGAACATAGAGAGAAAGGGGAGAGAATGGCAAAATTGATGGCCAAATAAGCAAATGAACATTATAACTGACGGTGTTAGTTCATTTGACGTTGACCATAAAAAACAGGGGTCTTTTTGGTATGTTTCGTAGTTCAGGGAGGTATTTGGGACATATCCCATAGTTCAGGGGTGCAAACTGTACTTTCCCTTATTTTTATGTTCAGACAATAACATAATTAGTGTGTAAAATAAATGGCAAATGACAAAAAGGGACATGACAAGACCTTAAATGCACATTTGTCCACAAAAAAAAACAGTCTTTTAAATAAACCCATCCCATGTCTCTAGTCTAAAATACCCCCATTTTAATAATTTTTCGAATTTTTTTTTTCTGAATCATTTTTTTTCATAATTTTTTTTCCAGAATAACTGCAGGAGAGAGTAATTTAGCAGCCAAGACAATAATTTCAATTAAAATATTTTTTGTAAGAAAAAAAAATTAAAAAAACTCAACGCCGGAGACCCGGCGGTCAACGGCGACTGGAAAAAAAATTCAGAAAAAAAGAAAGTTATCAAAAAAAAAAAAAAAAAAAAATCAACGCCAGAATTAAAATTATGGTCAAAATTGGTTCATTGGTGAAATTTGGCTAAATTGGACTGTAAATCATGAAATTGGAGTTGAATCGGGTTTCAATGAATTGAGGGTAATTTTGATATATAAAAAAAGTTCTCCTTATTGCAAATAAATTTAAATGAGCTGAAAATATTTGAAAGACAAAAAAGCTGAATGCCCATTTTTTAATTAAATACTCTTGTCATAGATCTCTTTGCCATTAACCGGTAAAAAAATTAAGAATCTTAAAACAAGGAAATTACTTCGGCCAAAAGATAAATGATTGCGTTCTACCTTTTGTAGAGTTGTAAGCAATAGAAATTACTCATAGTCAATTATGAACCAACCGACACACTTAGGGTGCATTTGGATGGAGGGATTTCAAATCCATAATAACAAATCCCTCGGACTTGTTTGGATTGAGGGATTTGGAGATGGATTTCAAATCCCCACCCCTCCTTTTTAGTTGGTTTTGGAGCAATAGTGATGGATTTGAAATGACTCCAAAATTGGAGTCATTTCAAATCCATTCCCCAAATCAAATCCCTCCCCAAATCCCTCCATCCAAATGGACCCTTATAGAATTGTTATAAGAAGCTTATTGCAAACCCAATAAAAACGGGTAATCTGCAGCCGTTCGTTATTTATTTTGGGCTCTTTGATATAATCCCCTTAATACTTT